CCCTCTCCTCCTCCTCCTCCTTCTCCTCCTCCTCCTCCACAATTATTCAATATGAATGCTACTCTCCCTCTTCCCAGATGACGGTTTGAGAGTGCTCGACCCCCCCGCGCATTGTTTTTACACAGGTTTCACCGGAGTTGGGTTTTCGCCTGCGCGTTTTCTCGCAGAGGCACCAGCCTCATTTTCGGGCCCCGCTCGTTCCGAATCGTGCTCCCGCTGCAGCGCTGGCCTCGTTTCCGTGCTTCCGCTCGTTCCGAACCGTGCTCCCGCTGCAGCGCTGGCCTCATTTCCGCACTTCCGCTCGTTTCGACTCGTGTTCCCGCTGCAGCGCTGGCGCCATTTCCCGCACCATGCCACGGCATGCAATGCAATGCTAGGTTGATACTACGCTTTCGGGTGGTCTTCTACGCCATGCCATGCCGTGCTCTACAATGCATCGCGTACCCTTTCGGGATCATTGCCCTGCTCGACATCCGACTGTGCGAGTAGAGAGGAGATCTACGCCATGGTAAGGGATGGGAGGGAGGGGTAGGATGTCAGATATGACGAGAGCGCACCTAGCTTGTTTTCCTCCCCCATGCCCCTCTTCCTCCTTCTCCTTCTCCTCCTCCTTCTCCTCTCCTCCTCATCATCATCAGCAGCATCATCATCACCACCATCATCAGCACCATCATCATCATCATCATCATCATCATCATCATCATCATCATCATCATCATCATCATCATCATCATCATCATCATCATCATCATCATCATCATCATCATATCCCTCGTCTTCTTCCTCCTTCTCTTCCTCCTCCTCCTCCTCCTCCTCCTCTCCTTCCCCCTCCCCCTCCTCCTCCTCCTCCGCCTCCTCCTCCTCCTGCTCCTCCTCCTCCTCCTCCTCCTCCTCCTCCTTCTCCCCCTCCTCCGCCGCCTCCTTCCCCTCCCCTCCCTCTCCTCCCCCTCCTCCTCCTCCCCTCCTCCTCCTCCTCCTCCTCCTCCTCCTCCTCTCTCCTCCTCCTCCTCCTCCTCCTCCTCCTACTCCTCCCTCCTCCTCCTCCTCCTCCTCCTCCTCCCTCCTCCTCCTCCTCCTCCTCCTCCTTCCCCTCCTCCTCCTCCTCCTCCTTATCCTCCTCATGCTCCTCCTCATCCTCCTCCTGCTGGGGAGCCCTCTCTTCCATAAAAACACGTATCGGGTTGGGTGGATGGGGCTTGAAGAAGTGGTAAGTATGGTCGTCAGTATTCTCGCGTACGTCGAATGTGGTTATGAAGCAGTCGTATCCTGTATCTTCCCAGCCCCTTCATCCCAACACGATAACTGTCCTTCCCACTCTCGGGCCCCACGCAGGGGCTGTCAGAAAACGGCTCGGGATGAGAAGTTCGTGCTGGGCAGGAGGCGCAGACCTGGGCGTCCACGCCGGTCGCTTTTTGCCAGCCCTCACCACACGACTTGGGTCGTATTGAGGAGCTTCGGTGAGCAAGCACGCGGTGGCGCTAACACACGTTCTGAGGACCATCGAGCTGCGAAAAGATCACGGCGGAGTTCCGGAATGGTGCACAGGCCATCCCGGCCTCCTCGCCGAGAAGGCGTGTAGGGTCTTCGATCCCCGATCCCCGATGGGTCCCCGATCACCGATCGGGAATTCCCAGACATCCGATGTCTTATTTTTTCAGTGCGGAGCCCCCGAAAGTCCCACCCCTGCCCGAATTTTCATCCCAAATCGCCTTCTGATGGTTCCGGAGCCCGTCGAGGGCCCCGGGGCCCGAGAACAGCCACAACGTGCCCGTCGTGGTTTTGTTAACGACGCGAGCATGTCTGGGTTGCTCCCTGAGGCATCAGGTTGCCAGCCAGCCGTGAACGCACCCCCATAGCCATGGCCCTGGTAGATCTGGAAGACATCAATTCCCCGATCTTCCACCGATCCTCGGCGCCGCGCAGGAGCCCCCGCAGCTCCGCCCCAGCCGCAGCTGGAGCCCCCGCCCGACGACGACGGCACTCCAGGGCCGCCCCAAAGGGGGCGAAGTACAGTCGGACCGGCGTATAAGTTTGAGGTCGGTTCGGAGAGGGTACCCGAAAGCTCTTTGTGTTTGTTGGATGTTGTGTGCAGCCTGGGAAGAGGGTACCCTTGGATGTTCTTGTCGTTTTGGCCGACGGAGGGTCTCTTGTTCTTGAGGGGTGCTCTTCTGGCCTAGGTCCGACTTTACCCAGATCTCCGACGATATGATTTTTTCAGTCCAGGCGTGCTGTCTCGATTTCGGCGCTCCGGGGCCCGTTCTCAAGCCCCGGGGCCAACTTTGGAGGAGTTCGACCAAAGAAGGGGAAACTGTGATTGGCGCTGCCTCATGCAGAGCCTTCAAAATCGCCCAAAAGAGTTTTGGAGAATAAGTGATTCGCGCCTCCTCGCCGAGGCCTCCTTGGACGCTCTGACACCTCGCGACCATTCCCTCCAGCCTCAGGGGAGGGGGGAAGGGGAGGGGTCAAGTTCCCAGCGGGAACGCCGCAAGCTGTATCGCTCAATCCCACCCGCCCTCCTCCTCCTCCTCCTCCTCCTCCTCCTTCCTCCTCCTCCTCCTCCTCCGCCTCCTCCTCCTCCTCCTCCTCCCTCCTCCTCCTCCTCCTCCTCCCCCCTCCCCTCCCCCTCCCCCCTCCCACCTCCCCCTCCTCCTACCTCCTCCTCCTCCTCCTCCTCCTCCTCCTCCTCCTCCTCCTTCTCCTCCCTCCTCCTCCTCCTCCTCCCCTCCTCCTCCTCCTCCTCCTCCTCCTCGAGTCTCAGCGTAGGCAGGGGCCGCCATCGACAACCGTCGGGAAACAGTGCAGACGCCAGCCCGGTGCGCGACGCCCACGAGGTGCGCTGCACATGCCAGGTACACCATTCGCAACAGGTGCGTCACATTGCGCACTATAGTATATGCATACATACATACATGCATACATACATACATACATACATACATACATGCATGCATGCATACATACATACGTACATACATGAATACATACATACATGCATACATACAAACATACACACCTACATACATACATACATACATACATACATACATACATACATACATACATACATACATACACACATACATACGTATATATATACACATGCATGCATGCATGCATGCACGCAGACATACATACATGCATACATGCATACATGCATACATACATATACACATGCATGCATGCATGCATACATACATACATGCATACATAAATACATATATACATATATATATATATATATATACACATACATACATACATACATACATACAGACCTGCATGCATGCATACATACATACATGCATATATATATATATATATATATATATGTACGTCTCTACATGCATGCATGCGTACGTACGTGCGTACACACATATATACACATATAAACGCATACACAAATACGCATATTCACATATCTACATATACATTTGTACACATACACACATACACACATACACACATACACATACACACATACACACATGCACACATACACATACACACATACACACATACACACATACACACATACACATATACACATATACACATATACACATGTACACACACACCTACCGACCGACCTGCCTACCTATATGTATATACATATATATATATGTCGGCCCACCACAGTCCTTGTCAAAAACCATGCAGTGGGGCTTCGCGCCATGCACCTTGGTCCATGAAGCTTGGTATGCAGGTGGAATAGCAGGAAGGCCAAGCCGACAATTTAGCGATAACTCCTTGCGGCCTTTTCCGGCATCGCCGCTATAATAATGTTATTCGTTATTGGATAGATTTGCAGCCTCCCGAGAGACATGTTGGACGGGCCGATATCGTTTCGGTTCGAGCGTTTTGGAGAGAATAATTATCCATGGTAGCGTGAGCGGATGCGCCCCCAGCGCCGAGAGCGGCAGCCTGAGATAGAGCCGCGGTTGGCCAGGCCCGCGGAGGGCTCCGCAGCGCAGGCCAGGGCCCAGGCGCTGGAGGCGACCAGCCTCGTGGATCCAGACAAGGGCGAGGACGATTTCGAGGTGCTGTCGGAGAAGGACACTGCCCAGGTGTGGGTCTCACTGGCAACGCGGCTGGTGAGGCTGGCCTTCAAGAGGCGCTGTTGGGCACACCTCGGACAGCATCTGTGTACGATCAAGAGACAGGGTCAAGATGGCAGCTACGGTCCAGGACGTCCAAGCGCTTCGACAGGCTCTCGAGCAAGTGCAGGGAGAGCTACGGCAAGCACGAGCGGACGCGGACGCCGCGAGTAGGGCGGCGCAGGAGGCTGCGCAGCGGGCGCAGCAGGTGCTCGGGCAGCAGGGTGCAGCCGCAGCGGCGGCGCAAGTGCCAGACCCTGGACCTGAGAGGATGGCCGCGGAGATGAAGATGATAGGCAAACCAGAGATGTTCGATGGGGCCAAGCCGCCATGGAGAGACTGGTCGGTGATGTTTGAGGCGTTCGCAGGTGCGACGAACCCGAACATGGCGGCGGCGATGGCCAGAGCAAAGCGTGAGGCAGAACCAGTGCTGATGACGAACCTCGAGCCCGGGGACATGCAGTTGTCCAGGACGTTGGGGTACTGGCTCATCCAGACGTGCAGGAGCCAGGCGCTCGACGTAGTGCTGAATGCGGGCAAGCTCGAGGGATTCGAAGCCTGGCGACAACTACACCTTCGATTCGAGCCACAGGCGGCGAGCAGGTACGCTGGACAGCTGATGACGCTGCTCGCCTGGGACTTCAGTGGCGAGATGATGATACGCCTGGAAGCCTTCGAGAGGGAGATCAGCCTGTATGAGTCGGCGTCGGAGGAGACCCTCTCGGACGCGATCAAGGTGGGCATAGTGCTGAGGCAGTTGCCCGAGTCCCCGCTGAGGCAGCACATGATCATGAACGCGGAGAGACTCAAGGAGTGGCCCAAGTTCAGGGAAGAGATCCTGAACGTCCGACAAGCCCAGGCCGCAGCGGCGGCAGCGCAGAACGGAGCGGCCCCGATGGATCTCTCAGCGTTCAACGACCAGAGTGGCAAGGGGCGTTGCAGGATCTGCAACGGCAAGGGCCACGACGAGAGGAACTGCTGGCACCGCAAGGGCGGAGCCGGAGCAGGCAAAGGCAAGTTGGACATCAAGGGCAAGTCGAGAGGCGACTCCAAGTCGAAGGGATCCTCGAAGGGCGGAAAAGGCAAAGGACGGCAAGGCCGGCAAGGGGCCGAAGTGCTTCAACTGCCAGGAGCACGGGCACATGTCCAAGGACTGCCCGAAGAAGAAGAACAACCTGCACATGATGGAGCCGGAACCCGAGAAGGCGCTGCGCGGGCTGTGGCTCGCGCCGTTCACGATCGACGAAAAGGACGTGGCGCAGAAGGCCTTCGACCTGCTGATCGAGGGCGGCCTGGTGGACGACAAGCTGGTGCACGAGCTGAGCAGGCTCGGCGCGGACACGGCGCGGGCATCCCGCAAGATGGTGCTCGGTGTCGATTCGTGTGCAGCTACGACGGTCGTGCCATCAGAGCTCGCGCCGGACTACCCGACGTACGAGAATGACATGAGTGCGAAGGGTGAAGGCTACAGGACCGCGAACGGCGGCTGGGTGGCCGACGAGGGCACTAAGGAGCTCATCGGGTCGGTGCGCAACTCGGACGGCTCGACGCAGGTGAGAGGCATCAAGGCTAGGGTCGCGAAGGTCAGCAAGGCATTCGCCTCTGTCTCGGAGATGGTCGACGCGGGCCATCGGGTCGTCTTTGATGCTGGCGGCAGCTACGCGCAGAACAAGTCGACAGGGGTGATTACCCCGTTCCAGAGGCGCAACAACGTGTACGAGATGGAGATGGAGCTGATGCCGCATAGCAAGGCGAAGGACGCGATCGGCCGCGCGGAGGCCTGGTCCAAGCCCAGCGCGAGCGGCAAGAAGCTGAAGGAGATCTGCATGGTGAGGAGCGATGACGCAGGTGATGGAGCTGGATCGAGTCAAGCAGCTGCGGCGGCAGCAGCAGCAGCAGAACCAGTCCAAGAACCTGTTCAACCAGAAGCGGTACCTCCACCACCGGCCCCGGCGGTTGCTCGGGAGCGGCTGGCAGTGAGAGCGGCGCGGAGACCGCACGAGCCGACCCAGCAGGAGCGAGAGGACCATGAAGTGTCGCACACGCCGCATCGAGCTTGGCGCAGGCACTGCGTTGCAGGACGCGGGCGAGCTGAACCTCATGTGACGAGGAGCCACACGGAGGATGCGATACCAGTCGTGGCGTTTGACTACGGCTACCTCGGCAGCGGCGAGGACGCGGCCCCGATTCTGTTCATGAGGGACTCGCTGCACAGGTACACGGGCGCGGTGGCGTTGACCTGCAAGGGGGCGGCGCACACGCACAGCGCCGACATGCTGGCGAAGTTCGTGGTCAACGGCGGCTACAAGAAGGCGGTCTTCAGGTGCGACGACGAGCCGAGCATCATCGCCCTGAGGGACGAGGCCGTCAAGAAGCTCAAGAAGGACCACGGCGTGGAGTGCTTGCTGGAGACCTCGGCGGTTGGAGAGTCACAGTCGAACGGTCTAGCTGAAGGGGCTGTCAGGGACATGAAGGGCCTGACGAGGACCCTCAAGCACGCGGTGGAGGAGATGCACGGAGTCACGATCGGCCCGAAGCATCCGTACCTGCCGTGGGTGGCGATGCACGGCGCAGCTGTCCACAGTCGAGGTCAAGTGGACTCGGACGGGCGCACGCCGTACGAGTTGAGGAAGGGGCGCGCTTACAAGAGGGCGCTCCCGGCGTGCGGCGAGAAGGTGTTCTACCTGCCAGTCGGCAAGAGGGAGTCGAGGCTGGTGGACAGGTGGCTGGAGGGCGTCTCCTACGGGATCCGCGACGACAGCGACGAGGTGTACGTGGCGACGCCGAAGGGCGTGATGAGAGCCAGGAGCGTCAAGAGGATGCTATTGGCAGCGAGGAGTGACAAGGCTCTTTTCTCAGAGCTGCAGGGCGCGCCGTGGCGACCTG